TAATGCGCATATTAAAAATACTGATGGTGATTATTTTATCCACCCCCTCCCTCCCATACACATTTATTTATTTTACATTTTTGTTAAGAAAATGTTTACTTTTCATTGACACTTCTGTCAGATCAGCAGACAAAAAAAAAAAAAAATTCTATATCCCGAATCTCTCCTTTCTGCTCTTTGCATGTCACTCTTGTACCCCCCAAACACACAAAAAAAACTGCAATGTAAGCAGAAGGGGATGAGCAGCAGCCACCATGCCCCCTCCCACCCAACTTTACTTCTGTCCCCACCCCACCCCTCTTCAGCAGTTTGAGCACACTGTCTTTGTGACACCTCTGGTACAGCTCTCCTTCAACATGGGGCAGCCCATTACATTATCCTGTCTATTATCACTTATAATAATAATAATAATGCATATGTATAATTTTGTGTAATAAAGAGCTGATGAGATCCTTATATGTTGACTTCATTTGGCCCTTACTCATTTATCCCCTACCACCCCTTCTCTTTCTCTTTCTTTCTCTCTCTTTTTTAAAATACCATGTCCCTTCAGGACAGGACATAGGTCATCATGGCTCTTCACAAACTCTTCCTCCTCTTTAATATACATGAATACTCAATGATTTTCAGATCAATCTATTATTATTTGTGACTTTTTAATGTCCTTTCCCTAAGGATGTAGGTAATCATGGTTCTCCAGACTCCTTTTCTTTTTCACCTGAGAATTATGAAGCATTGTGGGCATTAATGGATTATATCTAGAAATTTATAATTGACCAAACCCCCCCCCCCCCACCCACCAGTTTTTACATCATCATCAATAAGTTTTAAAATATATATTAAAAATTATATGTTCAAGTAATTAAACAATATAAAGATGTGTGGCGGGGAGAAAAAAATTACTGTGCTCTTACACATCTGACTAAAACATTAAGGGGTCATAAAGAGTGGAAAAGATAAAGGAGAGGAGAAAATTAGAGGCATAAGATAATGGATAATGTTATTTGTATTGGAAGGGAGAATAGGAGAAGATACAGGTAAAGTGAAAGAGCAGAAGCATTAGATAATGGGCGATCTTATTGGAAGAGATAAGTGTGAAGATGACAAGATACAGGCAAAGTTGCATTTGGAGGATGAGAAGTGAGTTAAGTGCTGGTCTACGGCAACCAATTATAACCCTTCTCACCGGTTGATTCTGGATCAATTCTTATGCTGGTCAATACTGTCACTTGCCGTTGAAGTTGGTTGTTCTGATCTGTACCCTTCTCCACTCCATGTTGTGTTGTTTGATCACAGTGCAGACAAATTTCTTCAGAGGCTATTTTCTATGTGCTTTATATCGTTCTTTGTACAGAAATATTAACCCTCCCCACTTTGAATTCTATCGTGACACTTTGCTCAATTTAGAACAAGACTTAAGTCGGGAGTTCTCTTTGGAAGCAAGTCACGTGGGATTCGGCAGCTCTACCTGCTGTCTGGTCTCGTCTGCGTCTCTGACTGGCAATTCTGCGACTGGTTTTTGGCCGCTTCAGTGTTCAGCTATTACCCAAGACTGGCATGAGGGTCGACGTGATTAGGGGACCCGGTGTTTCCCCTATCTTCCAACAAACGTTCTTTGTTGTCTGACTTTGGAAAATATCTCCCCAAATTTGTGAGATCCCTTTTCCTATGGGAAGCGGTCGTAGGTACTGACCCGCTCCGATAACTCTTTCTTTCACTTATTTGTGCCTCATACCATTACTTCCAAATGGGCATAGGCAATTCTCCCGTCTTTGGTATCTCACCTAAGCCTGTCACATCGGTTGTCATTTTGACAAATCTGATTTTAAAACCCCGTAGTTTAATTAGACCTATCATTTTAATTTTTCGTCAGCAATTTTTTTCTAGCCTAGTCCTGTTCATAGAATCAGAAATTTACCAGCTGTTACCTCCGGTCATCTATCCCCATATCTTGTTAGAGTTATCGCAATTTAAGAACCCTAGGCTGGGATTTTTACATAAAGAAATTCTATTTCTCGATTTGTTTACAAATTCCACATTTTGATAGGTGGAATAAATCGGTTTTTTCAATTCTGCCTTGTCTTTAAAAATTACCAAATATTATCTTTCCAATCGGCTTCCTTTTCCGGCTGGTTCTTAAATGTTTTTGCAACTTCCACTTTAAGACAGCGCCATCAATCAATTGTCAGCCCAGCTTTTTCCAGATGGCCCCTGTATTAATATCTTTCCCCTAAACAACAAAGTCACTTTCTTCAAGCAGTCTCTGCTTAAAAAATAGACTTTCAAAATTAAAAACAATCTCACCCTTTCTCTCAGTCTGTCTATCGTTCCATTTTTTAACCCTTTTCGTGTCTTGTTCTATTTTAATTTTGACCCTTTCTTTCCGTTTGCCAGTCTCACACAGAGGCATGAGATTCTGGATAATTTTAATCGTCAACATCCTTGGAAGTTCTATCAGTTCAGTCGGATAGTGGATATTTATTAAACTTAGCTCAGTCTGGCACAAAGCCAGTCATGGCACGCCCACTGAGAAAGTAGCACGAGAACCCCGGCTAGGTATCAGATCTCGTGGCATATTTTTAGATACAATTCAAATCTAAGAACGAAAACATGAGTCAGTAGTCAGATCTGCAACTCTGATTTCTTTTTTGTCTCGAAGAGCAAGATGCCCGATCATGAGCTCCAAATGAAATTTCCGAAAAGCCTACTCCCTCCAAGGTCTTTTTCTCCATTCTTGTAAAACAAATTGTGTCCGCCGCGACACTCCTTCCATCGTTTGTTTTTTGCTTCAACAACCTGCATAAAAGAACCTATGTCATCTGTAGATGTATTAAGTGACAGGGTACCTATTGCTTGAAACTGGACATTTGGGTAACTTAGTTATCGGCGCGGAAAGTAGCATTGATGGTTCGAGTTCAAATTCTGGCCTACTCTTGTATTTACATTTGCATAAATGCCTTTGGGAAAGACAGAAATCAGTCTCTTCTGCCCAAGAGCTATTGGTTAAATAACAGGGTAGACTTGAGTGACAGCCAGTCTAGGAGAAAAGGCTATTCTGTATTCAAAACTAAAATAGGTAATGGGAAACCACTCCACTATCTTACCAAAGAAGTCACAGCAAGTTACAGATGATAAATAAAAGGAATGTGTGGAGAGCCATAATCGCTTCCGCTCTAAAAAGACGTGTCATTTTAAAAAAAGTAACTAGTTTGAGAAGGGAACGGGAAACCACTCCAGTATATTTCCAAAGAAGTCAGGGCAATTCACGGATAATGAAAAATAATATGTTGAGATTCAAAATCGCATCCATTTTAAATGGCACCTAAAATGGTTGCTATTTTAGAAGACCCACTGCGAATTCAAAACCATGGAAAAGAAAATAGAGAAACCACTCTACCATCTTTTCCAAGAAGTCAAGGTAATTCATAGATAATAAAGAAAAGGAAGACGTGGAGAGTCATGATCGCTTCCTTCCTAAAGAACTTGACATCTTAAAAAGTAACTAGTTTAGGAGAAGGTAACAGGAAACCACTCTCTTTTCCAAGAAGTTATGGCAATTCACAGATAATAAAGGAAGGGAATCTGTGGAGAGCCATGATTGCTTCTGCCCTGAAAGGACATGGCATCTAAGAAAAGGGTAACTATTTTAGGAGAAGGAAACAGGGAAACCACTCTACTCTCTTTCTCAAGTAATCATGACAATTCACAGATAATAAAGAAAAGGAATCCGTGAAGAGTCATTATCGCTTCCGTACTGGAGGGACGACATCTAAAAATGCTAAATAGTTTAGGAAAAGAAAGATGGCATTAAAACACTGGGGACATTAATCCTTTGTGTTTGCAATTATTTTCGTACTGGTTTGTATGGTTTTAATCTTTTCTGGTTATTGTCGCCCTATATAAACGTCGGGAAACAGAAATTGGCTCCTAAGAAGCCTCCACGAATTAATGGTCAACTGACTTAAGCAACAAGGATGTCTTAAAGAAAAATGACAACAGATTATACTCAGAATCAGGCAAAGACAGCTTGAAATTCCTCGGAAAGAAAATACATGGTAATAGAGGAAAACGAGAAAAAATGACTAACAAGTGACGGACAGGCCAGGGTGTCAATTTATCTGATGGCCAGTGCGTGACCATCGATATATCGATATATCGGTGGTCACGGCCAGTGGCTCCATATATCAAATGCAATAAAGAAACAAACACAGACAACTGGTTTAACAATAAAGAGGAATAACTTTATAAAGTCATCCGCACACTATCAGTTACTCAAGTCCAAAGTGAGAGGACATTTTCAAAGCTGAAGATCATAAAGACAAGGTTAAGAAATTCGCTGTCCGAGAAGAATTTGGGATCGTACATGTTGCTATCCATTGAAAAAGAAATGTTAGATGAATTAGATGCAGAAGCAATTATTGGCAGATTCGAACAATCATCTATTGAACACAAACGATTGTTCTTAATATATTGGACTGCATACAATACCCTATTGTGCTTTTGAACGATGTTTTAATATGTAAATTGAGCCGTAAGCTATTTAAAAATATCAACCAATTAAAATTAAAACAAATAAAACATTCAATTATACCATTCAGTATTTACATTTCCTATCGACTGCTGGTAATATGTACAGTATATGTACACTGTACTTACTAAGAAATTTTTTTTCCACAAAAATTTTAATTATACTGTTTTTTCCATATGTAATTTTTTTTTAAATTTATTTATTTGTTACGAAAATTAAATGATAGTGTTACGGAGGTGCAAATGGGTAACCTGGAAGACAGAAGCTTGTCGTTACTGTTGTGGGGGTTAATTCCTTCACCGCCTCGGCAAGTAAAAAGAATATATTGAGCATGGGTAAATAAAATTTATTTACATATATATACAACTAGTAACTTTTCATCTGTTGCTGTTGCTAAGGCATCAGGGAGAGAGAGTGGTGAAATTAGAAGTGAAATAGATGTTGGTGATGGCTGTAGTTATTTCTCTCTCAGCGCGTCGGTCTTGACGTGAACGGTGGTCTTTGTCGCCTCTCTCTCTCTCTCTCTCTCTCTCTCTCTCTCTCTCTCTCTCTCTCTCTCTCAGCTTGCTGGTGTTGATATCGAAGCTGGTCTGTTTTGGGGATGTTTGAATTAGAGAATATATAGCCGTCAATCGGCTCCGAAGTAAGCTTTTGATTTTTGGAACGGGAGTGATTCTGACTGGTCAATAAATTGTTTCTTTTATTTTGGTTAAAGCCGATGTATGCGTGGAGCTTATGCACAGAAAACGTATTTGCGCGGTTTGTTTTGGGTCGACGAGCGGTCAACATCCGGTTTGTTCAGAATAATGTAAGAGGCACAACGATAGCTCTGTAGTTGTGGTCAAACCCCCTTTGTCTTCTGGCAACCAATATTTGGCAAATATGGACAAATGCGCCCTCAATAATATCGAGTGACAAAAGGACATCCCCCCCATGACACCGCATTTTTAGCTAGCTTCACTCTTCGGCAATGTTTATTGTTTTAAAAGAAGCTATGATTAGAATTGGAATAAAACCTAAACATATAATGGAAGTGAATTGATACATTTTCTTTGTTCTTGAGAATTAACAACAAAAATAATAAATACTATTTAAGAGTGAAGGTAGTTTAAAAAAAAAAAGCGGTGTTATGGGAAAAACGTCCTTTTGGAACTACATCTTATTGCAGGCACAATTGTCCATGTTTACCCAATATTTTAAAACCCAGTTCGTTACTGGGACTAACCTTCAGCTGCAAGAAGACAGAAAGTATGATCATCAGCTATAGAAAAAGCCCAAGATGGGAGTTACACATTGTAAATATAAACATCAAGCAGGTTCAGCAGTGTAAATATCTGGGAAACGTTTTAACAGAGGATCGAAAATGCGACACCGAGATCCGAAAACGCATTGGACGAGTGAAATAAGCTTTTCCAAAAGCTAAGCAAGGTGCTGAGAAACGGGAAAACTTCGTGGGAAACAAAGAAAAGAGTGCTGCATCGCTATGTGGTATCCCTCTTCTTCTATGACTGTGAATGCTGGACAATCTCATCAGGGATGAGAATAAAACTGAAGGCAGCAGAAATGTGGTTCTACAGAAGGATACTGAGAATTTCATGGACGGAGCGAATAAACAAGGAAGTCTTAAAGAAAATGGCAACAGAAAGAACACTTCTATTCAGAATCAGGAAAAGACAGCTGAAATTTCTTGACACATAATAAGGAAGAAGGACTTGGAAAACATAACCCTCACAGGGACCTATTGAGAGCAAGAGGAAGGCAGCGAACCACTGACCTCAGGAGCTTGTGTGAATGAACGGCGAGACAAGCCTTAGCAAAAGGAGAAAAGCTGTTAAAAGCTACAAAAGATAGGAAGTTGTGGAGAGCTATGGTCGCCTATGGCCTGAAGAGATGCGGCAAATACAAAAAGAAGTAATAGTCTTAAGTTGTCTGAATTTCTTAGATGAAGCCTTGTCAATTATTATTCATTTTTGACTAGTATTTCTTTCATCTTATTTCTCTTGCTTTTTTACCAAGTAGTAATCGTCTTAAGTTGTCTGAATTTCTTAGATGAAGCATTGTCAATTATTATTCATTTTTGACTAGTACAGGTTGAGAATCATTTATCCGAAATTCTTGGGACCGGAATTACTTCGGTTTTCAGATTTTGTTTTTGATTGTGGAATACATGCTATTTCATTTGTACATAGCATCTATAAAAATGGGGCAGCTTTGGAATGGAACTCAAACATAATCACGATATCCCTTTACATTTCATAACACAGCTTATACATATAATCTAAGGTAGTTTTATATAAATAACACGCACCCTGAAATTAGTGAAATGAAGTGAAAATACTGGACAAGGAAGAACACTGGAAACCTAGACATCTGATAGAATCGGCGCATATGCTAGGCGATGAAGTCCTCATTTGCCTGGCATGTGCACCCAGTAGAAAAGAAATAAATACAACATGGGAGCAGCTAATAAAGAAAGACATATGATTGCAGGTTTTCAGCAACAGCAGCAGCAGTCGAAACATGATAAGCATCAGCTGCACCACTAATCAACATTCAGGTTAGTTTTAAGGCTCCAAGTTCCCTACAGAAAATTATATAGTGAATTAAAGAGATGGTTCGTAACTTTGGTGACAAAGTAAATGTGAGTTCAATCCCTGGACCGGGCAGTGTGTACGTAGACTCAATGAGAACATGGCGAATAATAACTGAGCCGTACTAAAAATAAGAACAAAACGAGATATCAGACATGGACAGTAAAACAAAAACAATTTACCCCCGGAAATTAAATAAAGGGTACAGTTCAGAATTCTTTGTAGGTTACCCAGACCGATATACACCTGATAACAACAACAAAGATGAGGATCAGTCAGTTATGTGCCATGCGTGATAAATGCTTAGGTGATCATGCATCTTTCGATACATGACTGAAGAGGCAGATTTTTTCCGGCAGTAGGTTGCCATTTCTTTCTGCGGTAGACTAGTTGCCATCCAAGGCTATAGAATCCAGTATGTCATGCTATTTACCCATGGGGGGGGGAGAAGAAGATGATTCATACCTTTCCCAAGTGAATGCAATGGATTCGACTAGAATTCGAACTCGGCTCTCCGATTCTTCAATCCGAGCCGCTATCCATAACTCCACCGTAGTCAGAATATAAATAGTGTAAATAATCCCACTATTTTTTATTATATGTTGAAAATCCTTTATCCAAAATTCTTGGGACCGGAAGTGCTTGGGTTTTGGAAAAGAGGCAACTATAAAATGAGACAGCTTGGGAATGGAACCCAAGCATAAACATGATATCCCTTTACATTTCATAACACAGCTTATACATAATCCTGAATGTAGATTTATATTAAATTTAAGAAATGTTTGTGCTTATAGAGATACACGTAATGACGCTAGTCATGTAATGCTTACATGGATTTTTAAGTGAAAGATTTGACGTAAAAAATTATGATTTGTACTTTCTGTGTGTGTACAAAAAAGCATGATTACGACTTACAAAAAATATAAAAATGCAGGACTTTTTGAATATCTTCATTGAACAAGAAATACATGGTAAGTAATCCACGAACGAAGGTGTTGCTGAGACGATCACTGACAAAAAAAAACAAAAAAAACTTGTGCCGACATAGGCTACGTAGCTGGGCTGGGGAACCACCACCCAGGACAGATGAAGTCATTTACATCACCTATGAACCGTCCCAGTACTTTCTGTTCCATTTTGTGGCAAGTCATGTTAGCACTTGAAAAGCTTTCTGATTTGGGAGGTTTTCGGATTTGGGAATTTCGGATGAAAGATACTCAATATTTACTAGTATAGAATATGAATGTTACATGCATATTTTTTCTCTATGAAAATTATCCATTTGTAGAAAGTCATGTCAGCATCTGAAAAACTTTTGGATTTTGGAGGTTTTCGGATTTGTGAATTTCGGATAAAAGATACTCAACATTTACTAATAGAATATAAATTTTACATGCATATTTTTTCTCTATGAAAATTATCCATTTGTAGGGAGTTCTGTCGGGGTATATTGTACGATACGTGTAGTTGTGATAGAACAAACGAACGAACGAACGAACGAAGCGGATACAAAGCAGACAACAACGATAAATACCAAGAAACCGGTGTAGAGGGGAGAAACGTCCACTCTGAAATTACATGACACAACAGAGTCGCTAATTTCTTTTGACCATGATTTTGTGTTGCGGCAATTGGTTCGTAACACCACATTTCTGTTGCTTCAAGTCTCTTCTTCATCTTTGAGGTGACTGTCCAGAATTCACTGCTATTTAGGAGGATAGATATCACGTAAGATTTCAGTACTTTTTTCTTTGTTTCTAACGACTTTTTTCTGTCTCTTAATACTCTGCTTAGCTTTTGGAATACATATTTGGCTATCCCAACGCATCTTTGGATTTCAGGGTCGCAGTCTCCGTCCCCTGTTAGAACACTTCCCAAATATTTAAATTTTTTGCTTGGTTGATTTTGATATATCCGATTTTTAATTTGAATTTGTAACAGGAGTTATCAGTTGATGGAACAAAACGGACACTAATACTTAATATCAGAAAGAAGCAGTTGAAATTTGGGAGAGCACATAATGAGGAAAGAGGGCTTAGAAAAATTGTCACTCACAGGACAATTTTTTATTTTATGTCATCATTTCCCAAGTAGGTATTTATGCAGATGATACTATCATTTACTCTTCTCTTAATAGCAAATCCGTCAGTCTGACAAGTAAACCTGACAGCTGCTCTTGAAAAGGACCTCCAGTCAGTGGTTAACAGGGACAGTGAATGGCTTGTGAATTTTAACGCCTCCAAAACAAAACTGTTGGTAGAATGAACTCACCACTTGTAATGGGTGGCGGTTACTAATGTAATGGCAGCTGTTGAAAACTTTCAGAAGGAATGAATTTTGTCGAAGAATATGGGTAATAACATGTATGCGTTCGTGTGTTTAGATTTTTGTATATGGTCATTTATATGATTGTCTTGCCAACATCATTTATAGTTTTAAATTATTATTTTTTGTATTAATATTTTTGATAATATTATCTTTATTATTTTTATCCTTATATATGTGTGTGTGTGTGTGTGTGAAATGTGTATGCATATATATATATATATATATATATATATATATATATATATATGCAATTTTTTATATATATTATTTATATATTTTATATGCGCAGTATCTATTGGAAAGCGCTCAATATCAGTGATAGAGCTAACATATTTAGTTGGGTTGATGTGAGTTTGGGGGACCCTGGGTTTCATATTATTTGCGATCGTCAGACGATCGCAAATAGCGTGAAACAGTGGGTCACTTCATATATATATATATATATATATATATATATGAAGAAATATAGTCTAAAATGTGCTATATTTATGGGATAAAGTGCTCAATATCACAGATAGAGCATGTAATATAAAGTGAATAGAAGTCAACATTTAGAGGCGACAGTCTGTTTCATATAGACGCAATCGGTAGCCTGGCGATTGCGTCTAGCATGAAAGAGACAGTCGCCTCTATGTTAACTTTTATGTTCACTTATATA